AATCAGTGCAGGGAGTACTCTGCTCAAGACCTCCTTTTTTAGGGTTTTGAGCCATCATAAAAGCAAAAGGCAATATTAGAAAAGAATATTAATAGGCTTGATTACAGAAAAAATAAAACTTTTTATAAAAAAATGAAAGGGCAATGATAAAACATCCTCTCAATATTATTACATAAATACTAAATAAATCAATATAAGAATCAAAATTTCAATTTCCTAAAAATTAGACAAAGAGGAAATTCACAAAACACAAATGCCCAAAAAAATATATGAATAATTACTTATTTTACTAGTATTGAAAGAAACTAAATACCATTGTTCACCTACAATATTGGTAGATAGGCTGTTGCTTTCGTTGTTTACCAGAAATTATTGAAGAAGTGAGAAACCCAGCATTTTCATATACCCCTAGTGGGAGAGTAAACTGGTAACAGCTATTGGAAAGCAATATGGGAATACAGCTCTAAAGGGCCATTCCCTCTGACCCCTTAATTTCATTTTATAGAAATAAAAAAAAAAATGGATTCCTAAACTGCTTTATAAACAAGATATTTATCAAACCAATATAATATTTTAAAGCTGGGGGAAAAAAACCCATGTGTCCAGTAAATAGGACAGGTTAAAATAAAAACATATAGAACTACTTTGCAACCATTAAAAATCAAAAAGAATACTTTAAAGTCTAACTAAAATATTTTCAATATTAAGTGAAAGTGTAGGCTCCAAAACTATTTGTAYAATATAATCCCATTTGTATATGAAAAAATAAATAAAATGCAAGGATGTATAATCTATAAGGAGAAAAAAAYCTGAAGAGCTACACATCCAAATGTTAGCAGTTGTCTCCAAATGGTCACAGTACAAGTGATTATTACATTCTTTTTAATACTTTAAACTTTCTTATATCCCAAAACATTTTATAATAAATGTATATTGCTCTAATAAAACAAATGCTGTAAATATTAGATTTGAGTGATCTGACTAAAATTAAATTGGCTCCTTATGATCACTATTTCACTTATAATTACTAACAAGCCATCTTTTAAAAATCCATTTTAGAATTTCACTGGGAACTTATACTGCCCTGGAATTCATCTTTACCATCTTTTAATATAATATAGCCTATCAACAGCTCTCTTTTTTACCTGTTTCTCAGAAATTATCAGCATTGGTTCCATGAATATACTAATGGGAGGTTACTGGCCTGTTTTCCTCTACCTGGCTCTTATTCATCCTTCAAAACTCAATTCAGATCCTTACTCTTTCATGACTCCCAGTGGAGTATAAAGTGCCCTACTTCCCCTTTGCTCTAATGGTGTTTGCTGCCTATGTGGAATTTATTTTATGTTTGAAATTATATGAAATACAGCCTCTCATTCTAGAGTATAACCTCTAAAGTACAAAGAGTATTTTCTATTCATCTACAAATCTCCAGTACTTAGGCAAGAGTACACAATTTTAAAGCTTAGTTAAATCAATGAACAAAATGAGAAAATAAAAATTTTCCTCTAATAGAATCTAAACATTGTTTTAAGGTAGATTCCAACAAACTGAACCATGGATAATACTAATTATGGCTCAGTCAACATGTTGAGGAGTTCCGCCTCTCTCTTTTCTCATCTGCAGGCTGATAGAGCTGCCCATAAATAGAGGAGTCAGTGTATAGATGCTCCTCAACTTAAAATGTGGTTACATCCATTTAAACCCATCATAGGTTGAAACTATCTCAAGTCAAAAATATATTTAATAATATATTTAATAATAATATATTTAATATTTAATACACCTAACCCACTGAACATTTGAGCTTAGCAACACAATATACTRTAGAGGATTGCTTAATTCTCCTTGTGATCACATGGCTGACTGGAAACTGTGGTTCTCTGCCATTACCCAGCATCATGAGATAGTGTCATACATGAATAGTGCTAGGCCAGGAAAAAATCAAAATTCAAAATACAGTTTCTACTTAACGTATATCACTTTCACAACACTGCAAAGTAAATAAATTAAAAAGTTGGAACCATATGCATAAGCATCATGAAAAAAGACTACATTTAAAAGGTCTTTGGAAAATGTCACCTTTTCTCTCTGTGCTCAGCTTCCTTCTCTATAAATCTATCCTGCAATGGGAAGCAAATGAGAAGCTTACATCATTTCAAAGTGCTGACAATAGGTATAACCAAGAAATACATACCACAGGCAAATCTCCATCATCTTCCTCCTCCTTTTCTGGTTTAGTGTTGGTGATAGCTGTCCAACTCACATCATCATCAACAATCCGCATTCTAAAAGGGAACAATAAACAGTCATTCTGGGATGCCAACCTAAAGAACGCTTATTTGTTAGGTTTAGGATAAACTTCAAAATCCTGAACAATCTAGYCTTTGTCTATATGGATTTCATCCCTTGCCACTGCCCCCTCAATTCACTACTAGCCATCTTTTGATGCCTGAAATAAGCCAAATTCCTTACTGTGTCAGTTTTCACAAATGCAGTTCCTTCCCTCTACCTGACCTACTCTTCTCATTCTTTACCAGGCACTCTTACTCATTCTTCAGGTCCAAGAATAAATATAATTTCCTTGCATATATCTTCCTTGCCTACCCTCTTCCCACTCTTAGACTAAAAATCTCTATTACACCCTTAGGACACTTTCATTGTATTTTTCCAAAATAATGAAATCAATTACTTGTATAAAGCCTGTATTCTCTAAGCTTCATTAAACTGGGACCAAGGTGTTCTTATTCATAGAGATATCCTCAAAACTCTTCAATAACTGGCATAATAGCTGCAATAAGTTCTCTATATCAATGGTCCTGCATTTGCATTCAACCAACCACAGACTGAAAACACTCAGGAAAAAACCTCATCTGTATTGAGTAGGTAGAGACTTTTTGTCACTATTTCCTAAATAATTCTGAACAACTACTGACATTGCACTGACATTGTATTAGGTACTATTAATAATCTAAAGATGCTCTGATATATGGGAAGATTTGTGTAGGATACTTATAAATATATGTCATTTTATACAAGAAACCTGAATATTCATAGATTTGGGGAAACAATTCCCAAAGATACTGAGGAATGACTACATTTATTAAATATTTGTTAGACAAACGAACTATGATGGGAAGAGTTATTATTTGAAAATTTAGGGACACTTGAGAAAACAGCTCTAATCACAACTATTTAACGTAAGTAGTACTGTTCAATTTTAACTCTCATTTTAAAGATTAGGAAACTGAGACTCAAAGAGATGAAATATTTTGCCAGTAGCAACAAAGCTTAATAAAGTGGCACAGATATGATTCAAGCTCTGATATGGACGTGTTGATTCCAAAGCTCAAACTATTTTCATAGCATGGCATTGCTCCCAAAGAATACACAACAAATCAGAAGAGAAAGAAAACAGAAAGCAAGAATAAAGCAAGAACCAAACCAGTAGAGAAAACAGACTAGTTGTGGAACTATTTGACTTTACTGGGTGTATTAGTTTCCTAAGACTGCCCATAATAAAGTACCACAATCTGGATGGCTTAAAATGACAAAAATGGCTGGGCAGCAGTACACACCTGTAATCCCAGCAACTCAGGAGGCCGGGGCAGGAGGACTGTAAATTCAGGCCAACCTCAGCAACTTAGGGAGGCCCTAAGCAACTTAGTGAGACCCTGTCTCAAAATGAAAAATAAAAATGGCTGGGGATGTAGCTCAATGGTGAAGTGCCCATAAGTTCAATCCTCAGTATCCCCCCCCCAAAAAAAAAAAAAGACAAATGTGTTTTCTCACAGTTCTGAAGGCTAGAAGCTGAAATCAAAAATCAAATTAAAAATCAGGGTGTCTATAAAAGGCCATGGTCCCTAGGAAGCCTTCTGAGGATGAACTTTACTCATTCAGTTTATGGTAGGTAGTCCAGGCAGACTTTGCTAGGATTGGCTCAGTTTAAATACAATCCAATTTCAGCTTCCACGTACACATGGCCATTTTCCCTTTATGTGAAAAACTTCCATCTTCTTAAAAGGACACTAGTCATACTGAATTTAGTACCCATCTTAATAAAGTATAATTTCATCTTAACTGATCACATCTGCAAAGATCCTAGTTCCAAATAATGTCATTTTAAGGTTCTGGACTAAGGAGAATTTGGGGAAGGGGGTACTATTAAACTAGTACGCTGAGTCACGAAATTTTCTCATTTGAAAATGAGAATAATATCATCTACTTCTGATAGTAAGTTAAGTTCATATATTTCAAATTTCTTAGGTGCCTGGCGCATAACAAGTGTGTAAATGTTTCCGTTAATGATAACATTTAATAGTAACAAGACACGATCATGGATGGGTCTTCGAATCGGGATAAGAGTCCCTAGGATTTAGGAACCCCCACAGGCAGGGCCCTAAATATCCAAGCACAGAAGCTYTGAACCAGCTAGAGTATTTTCGGAGGCACGACGTTTAATCTCTAGAGGACGGAAGGCTACAAAGGCGGGAAAAAAAGGAAAGTTACAGCCTGGCTTTAACACATGCAGCTGCTCAGAGGCGCTAGATGTAAGCCCGGAGGAGGCAGAGGCCAGGAGAGSCTGACGCAGTCCAAGTGGGACCCCGAGGTTAAGCAGGGGTCGCAGCGCAAAGAGGCAGGCGCGCCGGCAGGATGGAGGAACCGGGAGGCGGAGGGCGGAGTTGGGAAAGGTGAGGRGGCGGCGAGCTGTCACAGGCCCCGCCCCTGCCAGGAACTCACCCCTTGCCGCCAACCCCGCCAGGTTTTGGCCGCTTTTTACGCCGCTTGCGACCGGACTCGGGAGCCCCGTCGATGGCTGCATCTGCCCCAGACAGGTAACGCTTCAGATACTCAGCCTTGGAGAGCGGCGGAGCTGCCGCCATGGCAGCGGCGAGGGTGGGTATACGGCTCGGCGCTGGGGACAAAACTCCGGAACGCGAAACCGACGGCGGTGGCCCAGTAGGTGGAGCCAGAAACGGAAGTGGTGGAGTAGGCTTGGAATTACCAGTCTGACGAGTGAGATGTACTTCAGTATGAAGAGAAATGTGCACGCCTCCAGGATCCGCTCCACGACACAACCTTGTTTCTTCTTTGCCCTTCCATCTGTTCATCCATCCGACGCACAGCGCTGTCCTAGCGTGAGGCCACAAATCGATCTAAACAAGACCTGTCCCCAGAGGCTTCAGTGAAGAATGTAGGTTCTGGAGTTGCAGCAGATCCAGATTTGAATACGAGCCCATAACTTCCTAATTGGACCTCGGGCAAGTTTTTTAACAAAATGGGGAGAACTCAGAATGGTTGTGAGGACTAAAATAATATTACTCTTCCACTATGAGCTATTTTTACTAGTTATAAACATCTTTAGGTGGACTGGAATCTGCTCCAGTAGGCTTCCAGGTACCATTTGAAAGACAAAGTCAGAAACACAGAATTCAATATAATGACTATAAAAACGTGTAGGTTTCTAGAACATGTGTAACTTCCCCCACGTTTGATATTATTGGTAGCTATAGTTACCTCTTGAAGGAAACTATGTAAAATGTTGCCAATAAAATGGACATGGAGGGAACAGAGTTGTGGCTCAGTGGTASCTTGCTTGCCTTGCACGGGTGGGGCACTGGGTTCGATCCTTAGCATCACATAAATAAATAAAATAATAAAATAAAGGTATTGTGTCCATCTACAACTAAGAAAAAACATTTTTTTTTCTAATGGACATGGGCTGGGGATATAGCTCAGTTGGTAGAGTACTTACCTTGCATGCCCAGGGTGGACACRGGACTATTTCAGCATAGCAAATAAAGCTGGAAACGGAATTCTAATATTCAAGTTTTAGTGGAAAGGCAAACTTTTCTTCTGTAAGGAGTTAAGAGCTTTATCTTAATTAGCTCATTTAACCCTCACAATTAATCCTCAGGCAATTTTGTTATCCTGTTACAGATGACAAAACTGAAGCTTGGAGAAGTGCAGGAAATTGCTCAACTTCACACTTGCTAAAACATGATTCTTGGGAGCAGAGGATAGCCAAATGTGCAAGAGGTAATCCACTTTTTTTTCTGAAGTAAAATATTGAAGCTCTTTTTTGTGTCATGTTTAAAACTTTGCATTATTTTCGSCTATTGTCAAGTAGGCACTGTCATACTTTATTTTTCTTTAAATATTTACTTTTTAGTTGTAGTTGGACACAATATCTTTATTTTATTTATTTGTTTTTATGTGATGTTGAGGATCAAACTCAGGGCCTCACACATGCTAGGCAAGTACTCTACTGCTGAGCCACAATCCCAGTCCCATTATCATACTTTAAAAATAAAGACACCCCTCTTGGGATTCATGTTCAAAAACATTCTTCACTTATCTAATACAAACAGGCTTGGAGATCACTGCCTTGAAGCATGTCTTTGGGGTGATGTTTGTGATGCTGAGAATTGAACCCAGAACCTCACTGCAATTGGCAAAGCACTCTACCACTGAGCCACACCCTCAGCCCAAAGCAGGAACATTTAACTACTGGGCTATACTGGGTGGCTAACATAGCCCAGAAAGGAAAGCAGGATAGAGTGAGGGCTTGTGAGAAGGAGACACTGGACAGAGACAGAGACACTGGACACCTAGCTAGAGGGCCCCAAAGGTCTCCAGAAAGCTGACTTGACTTCATRTCCAATTTGGTTTATCTTAAACTGAACTGAAATGTCAGCAGGCATTTGAAATGTCTCATTTTTCTGCTCCAATGAAAATCAGCAGTATACTCCCTATAGCCTCATCAGTCCATCTCTTTCTTGTTACTGTCTTCTTCAGTTCCAACCATTTCACCCACTGACAGCCTTAGCCTGATACTACCCAACCCTACAACACAGGGCAGTGAAGCAGGATCGGATTAGTATGTGCCCAGTGGCATGGCCTGAGCTCTGCTGTCTCCCTGCAGTTATAATAATAAATACAGTAATTATAGACTTGTGCTAAAAATATTCAGAATGCAGGTTTCTGAGTCTGACTGGCATGAGTTTGAAGCCTGCCTCAAAAAGCTATACTTCCTTCTGGAAATTACCTAACCTTGCTAAGGTTGTTTCCCTATCTATAAAATGGGCATAATTTGTTTACTTGTAGCCACTTTTTCCCAGAAAGAACTTAAAGTAGACTTTAGAATTTTTGTGAGAATTCTATGAGAGRACATATTTATAAAGCACTTCACAATTACCTCACTTACTCCTCATAAAACCCCTAGGAAGCAGATATCACTAGTATCCCCACTTAATAGACCAGTAAACAGAAGCATCAAAGTTACCAAACTCAACTGCAACACACAGAATAAGCACGGGCTCTTTTCACAGTTGTAAACTACTTTGCTGTTAAGARAAGTATATAACATTTTAAAAATAAGAATAAAGTCAAGTACTCTTAAATACTACTTGCCTATGAATGTTCTGATGTGCGTATGCTAACACACAATGGGTTGGGGAAGAGAACAAAAATTCATTGGAGTAGACAAAGGGGGATGAAGGGAAGGGATGGGAGGATGGGAATAGGAGACAGTAGAATGAATTGAACGTAACTTTCCTATGTTCATATAGGAATACATGCCCAGTGTTAACTCCACATCATATATAACCACAAGAATGGGAATATACACCATGTATGAATAATATGTCAAAATACGTTCTACTATCATGTATAACCAAAAAGAATTTTAATTAAATTTTAAAATTATTTTTAAAACACCACTGGCCTAACATTTAAGCTGACAACCTTCCCTACAATGTGCAATAAGCAACTGACAGGCTACAGAGTGTTGTATACTGACAATGTTATAATAGAAGTCTTCCCACCTCTGAAGCTTTCAGTTAGGCAAGTCAATTGCACCTCATACTTACTCCCAAAACTCACCTCATTGCTACCACTCAGGATCATCCCAACACAGATGTACATTCAATATTTACTGTAATTCGCAACTCTAGGGTACTTTAAAAAGTTTGAAATATGAAGCAGGAAGCATATTCTCACAAATGGACCAGTTTGTTCTTTCAATATAATCACAAAGCTTTCTGCTTAAATTTTATTCTAATAGTTATAATTGAATCTAATTTTCTTAGGCAGGCATTTTGACTCCTTTGGTCTTAAAGCAGGCTCCTTCCCTTACCTTAATACCTACATGTTACCTCCAGTGCCCTAAGAAGGGGCCATCAGTACAATTCATAATCTATGGAGGATTACTTTGTAACAGATTAATTAACCATATGCCATATGCTAAAGACTGTGGAGCATGACAGTTAACTAGATATAAGCTCCTATCCCAACAGGCTTTATGAAATGAGAATGGAGTTGGGTGGGAATGGTATTAAGACCTTGGCCCTGTCAAGATCAGGAAACACTATAGTCTGGCCCCTGGTCCTGTCTGCAGTTTCAGAAACTCAGGTTATCATTTCCCRGTAACTGGAATAAACAGGGAAGTGACTGGATGAAATTCAGAAAATTGCTTCATCCCAACCAAACTTATAAAATATTGAGTTATTAACTCAAGACCTTAATGCCATTATTTTCCTTCATAATGGGGCACAACTGCACAAAGCACACTTACTCCAAGGGGAAGTCTATTCTGGCAGAAAGTCAGTTGAAAACACAAGTATCTTGGAGTCATAGGAAGCCTAATCAGAGTGTTATAGCTTTAAAGTTTGTCAGTCATTTGCTAACCTTAGTTTCCAAATGCTTTTAAAAAACACCTTACTCATGCCTTTCCTTATAAAAATCAGATGTATGTTCTGGAGTTGGACCAAAGTGATTAGTAACATGCCAAAGAATTAATAGATGTCTGAAAGCAGAAGTTTAGGAAACTAATACATTTATGGTAGAGAAGGAGGCAGAAATTCCAAATGAAGAATGAYGAGAGTAAAGGAAAAACAAGGGGTGTCTCATAAGAGCCAAGAAAAGGGTTGTAAAGAGCTGATCCACTGAAAAGCAACGGAAATAGCAGAGTAGACAATAAGCACATTTTCTAGGTAGAAAATCAAGTGTGACCTTTGGGAATAGTTTTTAATAGAGATGTGAGTAGACTTATGATTACTAAGTCATCTACAACCAAGGAGTCTTCAGTGAAGTTCATAGCACAAAGCAAGGTTTGTGACAGTATCTCAATTAACTGGCCTTTGAACAAATACTCTGCACCCTGCACCTTTTGTTCCTGAGAGGCAGCACACTACAGCACAAAGAGTGCTGGCTGGGGTCCCAAGCATCAAGTCTTCAAYTTCCTAGCAACTGTAGGCAGCCCCCTATTCTATAGCTTCAGAAATTTTTGCATTTGCAATTCCCTCTGCCTGGAAATCCCATCCACCCTCCTACTGTATTACATGAGCTTCCCTTACCTGTCTAAGCTCTGCCTAAATGTCAAATTGTCATTTACTGAAATCTTCCCTGACCATTGTATCTGACACACCAGTGCCACCTTCTCTAGCACTACACACCCCTTCCCTGCTACACACTCCTCCATAACACCAATAACCATCTGACATGCTATCCTGCTTATCCATTTATTATGAATTCTCCCCCCTAGACTTGTAAGCTCCAATAAAAGCACATTTACTTTGTCCATTGTTCTGTGATGTGCCTGGCAAAAAACAGGCAAACATTGAAGGGATGAAAGAAATGCCAGTTCCAACCCCCAAAATACTGTGGCTGCACTGGAGAAGATTTTCTTTAGGAGGCTGAATTCTAATAGCATGATAACCAACTAGAACAGAGTGGAAGCACAGGCCAGTATTGTTGGAAAGCCATCATTTTAATGAAAACTTCTTCACMTGTGCTGACTATACCCCCCTCTCCAAGATGACTTCTTTCCTGTTGAAAGCCAGTACTTTACATGCCCCAAACCAACTCCCAAATCCAGCTGTAACTGTCTTTAAGTTCACCAACTTCAGCTTTCACACTCCAGAGGGTAGAGCACTGTGTGGAGGGAGGGTAAAGAACTGATAGGGGAAAAGTGATGATGGCATGTCCCATGCTTAGTTCCTGGGTTTCTTCTCAGGCTAATTCAGAACCTCCAAAATAAGGTCAAGTAACACAATAGCTTGCAGGTGCATCACCAGCTGTTTAGAAAGTGTGCCTAGATAGCTGACGTGTGGCAGGTGTCCTCTGCACCTGTRGAAGGGCACTGCACAGCATTTTTTCCAACAGTGATAAATAAGCTGCAGGATGAGCTGTGCTAGATAGAGCTGGCTAGTGAGTCACCCACTACTATCGCTGTGGGGCCAGGATGCTTCATAGCCCTCCGTCTTCATGTCATTGAGCCCCAGTTCCTCATTTTGGTCAAAGGTGCGCTTATAACGTTCCACCTTCATCTCTGGATCTTCTTCAGGTGCATAGACATTCTGCAAGGCCAAGAACAGACAATCAGTGCCTGTGCAATCCCGCCATTCCTCCTCCCTCAGGGAGCTACCAACTCCCACTTCCCTAAGTACTTAATGCCCTCCAATCCCTAAAGCCTAGGCTCTACTAGGGGGCAGCAACAGAGCTCACAAGAGTTAGGAGTGGGACAGCCTTCCTCCGCAGARGCAGGGAACAGTCCACCTAAAACATTTTACATCGGTACTTTCTTATGAAAAGTGTGGCAATGGTCTTAATCCTGGAAAGAACTTGTAACAATTTTGTCTGAGCCTGTTAGGTGCTCAATAAATGTTAAAGTAGGGTTGAGGCCCTGGGTTCAATCCCCAACAACACACACACACACAAAGTTAAAATCTCCAGCAATCACCAGATTGATTCCCCAACTGGCTTAAAACCTCTCCGTTTTCCCATTTTGGTCTCTGGATAGGACAACATTTCTCCTCACTCTACAATCAGACTTGCAGAATGAAAATTCCAGAGTTGGAGACAACAGCAAAACCAAGGATGAAAGGAGCCTAGGAGAACCTGTTTTCCTTTCTTCACATAAATTTAAAGCTGTTCCCACTTTCCCCCCTTTCTCCTTTATCTTCTGTCTTCTGCATAAGTTCCTTAAAGAAGATCAGTCCATTTAGATTCCAGTCTTTTTAGTTTCTGGGGATATGATAAATATTCAAAGATCAGAAAATATATCTCCAGCAAAAATCCAGGAAGGCCAAGTGCCCCACCGGGTACGGTGGCACACACCTGTAATCCCAGAGGCTTGGGWGGATGAGGCAGGAGGATCACGAGTTCAAAGCCAGCCTCAGGAAAAGCGAGGCACTAAGCAACTCAGTTAGACTCTGTCTCTAAATAAAATACAAAATAGAGCAGGGGATGTGGCTCAGTGGTTGAGGGCCCCCGAGTTAATCTCCAATACCCCTACTCCCCCCCAAAAAAAATCCAGGAAGGTCTACTGTACCTGCAAATAACTGTTTCCTGCTGGATCATTCATAATAAAGTGGACCTTCATGTTACCCTCAATGATCTACAGGAAAGAGAAAATACAGCAAGTAAACTTTACACAGCTCCTGACAGGAAAGAGCTATAACTGCCAGACAAGGGCCAACTCAATCTACATTTCAGAATCCCCAAAGTTTTGAAATTAGATACCTCTGGAAGTAGAGCAGAAAGGAATTAAAATAAGAACTGCTTGAAAACTACTTAAGAAACAATTCAATACTCCCAATATCATCTCCTACTCACAACAGCCAATAATTGTTCTTGTTTCTCTGGGGATACTACCATAGGAATGTATGGACTGGAAGACACTGAACCAATTAAGTAGAAAAGAATCAAGAACAAGGAGGTTAAGTGAATATACACTTATTGGAAATAGGCATACACATATCCCAGGCCTCTTCCCACACTCAGCTCTCATAGCACTGCCAGACACAACTTCATGCTCCGGACAGAAAGGAAAACAGCCACTGATGGGTCTCTGACTAGGCCCAGTCAGAGGAAAGCCCTAACTATACTGGGGCTACCTGGATAAAATGGCTAAGCTAAAGCCCCTTTCAATGAGCCTCATGCCAATAACACTCACTCCCACTGTCCTCTACTTGTAAGCAGTCAATGCTTACCAGACATCTGAGCAAAGTGGCTGACAGAAACTTAAATGGGGAAAAGAGAAGGAAAATAAGCAAATAAAGGAAACAAACTATGTGAGGAGAAAAAAATACGCTCCACCCCCAATACATCAATGTTCTCAAGAAAAAAACAATTACATCCTTAATAYAAAATGCTATTTTAAAAAGGCAAGGGAATGGGCTGGGGTTATGGCTCAGCAGTAGAGCACTTGCCTAGCATGTGCAAGGCACTGGGTTCAATCCTCAGTACCACATAAAAAATAATAAAATAAAGGTATTGTGTCTAACTACAACTTAAAAAAAAAAAAAAAGGCAAGGGTAGGACAATCAGACACCCCCTCTACCCCCCCAAAAAAAGCTCTTCAAAAGTAAAGACATTAACTCAACCCAAAGGGATGGAAAATAAAGTTGAAGGAATCTTCTAGACTAGAACAAAATACTAATAAAACAAAAACAGAGTAAAATAAATAAATTACAGCTGGGCACAGTGGCATATACCTGTAATCCCAGCAACTCAGGGGGTTGAAGRAGGACRATTTCAGATACCAGGCCAGCCTGAGCAACTTAGCAAGATTCTGTCTCAAAATAAAAAATAAATAAATAAAGAGACAGGGGATGTAGCTTAGTGGTAGAATGCCCCTGGGTTCAWTCCTCAGTACCAGAAAAAAGAAAWATAATAAGCAAATTATCCAAGATCAGACAAGTAGGTCTAACATCTAAAAGAACAAATAGAAGGCTATCTTCCAAGAGAATAATTCAAGAAAGTTTTCTAAAACTGAACTACGTGAGTTTTCCAATTTGAAAAACCCCACCAAGTGCACAGTAGCTGAAACTTATCTCAAACAAGGCACATCCTGATATCGCATATCACAGAGGACAAAAAGATTATAAGAATAGATCATATATGAAATTCTCAATAGCCAAACCAGAAACTGGAAGACAGTAGTGCAGTATCTTCAAAATTCTGATGAAAAATCATTACTATCCTAGAATTGTATTCCCAGCAAACAATCAATCAATCCTGTGTGAAGGTAGAACAGAGAAAATTTCAGACATGATAGGTCCTATAAATTGTATTTCCCATGCATTCTCTCAGGAAGCTACTGAAGAAGATGCTCCAACAAAATAAAGGAGAAAACCAGAGGAAACCAAAAGAATCCCCAACATAATTGTTTAAATGTGGCAAGAGATACAAATGTGGTCTCTTGTTCAGAGGAACCTCAGGACCCTGAGTAACAACTGGCCAGTTGGTACTCACCTGGTCCAACTTCTGGCTGAACTCCTGCAGTTTCTCCGACTGGCCACGACTGGAACTGTCACCGAATGTGAAAGGGTTCTTGRTTACCTGCAATAAATGACATCCAAACTGTTAAAATCCTGGCTTAATGGTTAGTAGGCCTGCCATAAACCCAAGCAGGGAGTTGTAGCTGGTGCCCAGTCAAAAAAAGTGTGGTCTCCATTTATCCCACAGCACTTTGCTGACCTATGCAGCCATTCTAGGAGTTTATGGGATCAGTCTGCCAAAAAGGCAAAAACTGGTCACATGAAATGAAATCTAGAAAATTGCTCTTACAAAATTTAATCCTAATTTGGAAAAGAAATGCAAAGAAAAAATATAATTTCCAAAGACAAAATGCCTGACAACAGAATCAATTAAGTAAAATGATCCATCAAAAAGATAAAATGTATAGTCCTGAAAGGACCCTCATACCCTATCTTACAATGAAATAAATGACTTACCCAAGACCTCAAAATAAATATACCATCCCAGAGTCAGGCCTGGGAATTTCCCTTGAAAACTTCCCCAAAACTTCTCTTTAAAATCCAAAACAATAATTAAGATCTTAGACCAGCTTTAAAGCAAAGAAATTCCCAGTTGTCAGCACCAACTGACATGTTTTCAAGTCTTAAACCAAAAACTAAGATGTTTGAGGTCTTCCAGGTCCTTTTCCCATATCCACATTGCTGCTATGTACTATACTCAGGGTACTCACCAGTTCCCGGATGTCTTTCAGGAGCCCCTCAAGGGTGGTGAACTTGCCCCCCAGGACACCCATTCCCATTTCAAATTCCAGCTCTGGGATTTCCACACTACATGTCTCAGACTGTAAAATAAGAGGTCAAATGAAGATCTGTATCAGGGGTTAGGGAGACAGCTCAATGGCAGAGCACTTGTCTAGCATTAGCAAGGTCCTGGGTTCAATCCCCAACATCATAAAAGGTAAAAAAAAAAAAAAAAAAAAAAAAAAAGAAAGAAACTTTAAATTGGGAGTACAGAAAGCCAATCAGAGGCCTCCCAGATTAACACAAGTGATAATTTGGGGGCAATTTCAGCTGTCCCAGTTTTCTCCGATTCAGCTAAAGCTTGACCTCCAAAATGAAATGAGTTTAACCACCAAATCATCTTAACCACCAAAATGAAATCAGTTTAATAAAAAGAAGCTGAGTCATAGCTCTATGTTGTCAGGTACCCTGTCTACAGTCACCTAATGAATCTGCAATTCCAACCATGAGATTACCCTGCTTAGGGATCCTCAAACCCAGGGAAGTAAGGGGACCCCTAATGTCCCCGAACATGGTTTTAAAAGATAATGTCTCCTACATAAAGACATTTTCCTGAGCAGGTTGTTACCTTGAGAAGGTCTCTGGTCATGTCTGAGGGATCTGTGATGCAGAGTGTGATTTTGGTGCCCAAGGGTTCTACGGCTCCTCCAGATTTCACCTATAAAGACATTAATCAAGAGCAAGAGCAGAGAGAGCCTCATCCAGTGCCAGGTCTCCCTCAGACTTACATACRGACCTCCAAACTGGCTGGCTAATGGCTACCAATGACAGAACCTTCTAAACCAACAGGGGCAACAGCTGTCCAAATCACAAACACCAAGAGGTGTCAGGAGCAGAGTGCCCAGGCTCAGGAGTATACCAAAACTTAGCCCAAATTGCCAAGAAGCTCTGAATTTACTTTTTAAAGAAATCTGACACTTGGGAGTTGAAAGGGACTTTTAAGCATTAATTCTAGTCCTTTCACCCACTGCATCCAATGTGTAGATCTCCTTTATAATGTTCTGTTTAAGAATTTAATCAGCTTATGCTTGAATATACTTGGGGAAAGGGGATTTATAACCCACCAAGGCAGCCCAACCAATATTCAGACAATTCTTCATTATGGAATCAAAACCTGACTCCTTGAACCTTCACCCCTCTGAGAAACAGATCAAAATCTTTCTCTCTTCCATATAATCAACATTTCGTGTSTTAAATGAGTTATGTTATCTCTAATTTTTCTCCTCTAGGCTAACTCTCAGCTCCTTCAAGAGCTTCTTACCCTTCACTAAGCATCCCCCATTTCTTCCATCTCCCCAGTCCTGAAGCAGATTTAGGAAGAATCAAAGTTATAAAGGGGTTACCCTTAAGCCAGTCTTCTTCCCAATCTATAGAGGCCACTCACCTCATTAGTCCGATGTCCACAGTTCTCACAGTTGGTGGCCATGATGATAACTTCCTTAAAGTGGGGGATTTCTGGAAGATGGAGTTAAGGAAATTTGCTTCCAAGAGAGCAAGACCACCCTCTGGGGAAAAACAACGCCAAACTGCACATAGACATTGGACATAGGACTGTAACTTCTCACACGGGGCAACATAACTCTAATAGTCTCCAGAAGAGGGCTGGTTGAAGACATGGCTCAGGCCAGATAAAGGAGCCTCAAGGCCATGGCCTAATTTTCTCTTTGAACCCAACGGTAAGGTACACAACCTAAACAAAGACAACATCCTCCTCATATCTTGGAATAAAGCATGGACTTTTCTTGAAAGACTGTTCTCAGCCTGAATGTAACCTTCATGCCTTAGTCAGATGAAGAACAACCCAACTTGCTTGACAAAAGATACGTACTAGCTTCATGTTGGTCTGAGCAGGGGCATTGCATTCTGGGCAGTTTGTGTTGAACTGGAGCACCTGAAACAAAATTCAACAACTCAGAGTGAGCCTCCCAGGCAGGATGCTCAGTCTACAGACATTCAGTTGGCAGGCTGGTGGTCACCCATGTTCATGGCAATGAAAATAAAAAATTAACAGCATCAGTCTCAGCCCACAATGCTGCTCCTTTCTCATAGGAACCAACATGACTCACTTCATTTCTGAGATCTTCCTCTTCTGGCTTCTCTTCTGGTGCTTCTGCCTAAAACAGCAGAGATGCAAATCACAAGCTGACAAGTAGACCTCTCAGCCAATGAATATTTCCCTGCACCTTGCCTCAGTRGGAGAAAAATGCCCTCACTCAATTATATCAGATGCCTACTCATGARTCAGAAAGAAAAGCCAGAAAGTAAATCTTCAATCAAGGGAAGAAAAGGCCTCAAGACAGGATCACAGGTGCTTGTATCCTTTCTGTGAAGTTTACCCTAAGTCTTGACATGAACTACATGAAAGGCACAAGCAAGCTAACAGAGGGCAGTAACAGCAACAAAATAAGTTTCCACTGACTCCAAGCAATCCTGGAACCAAGATAATTCCAGAGCATTTTTCTGGCTTCTTCAGTTCACTTACCTGGAGCCCCAGCATCTCATCCTGCTGTAAGGTCCGGTTGTAGTGTGTGATCACCAGGGCATCATCTTTCTGGGGAGCATGTGGATTTTCTACAAAGCTGTTCCCTGAGGGATCATCAATGATCTAATAGATGAGTGAAGAGAGAATAATTCCAACATGAAATCATACAACCCTCCACCTACCATAAGATCACAATGGAAAAATCCCAGTTTTAATTTTCTCTCCTCCCTTAAATGAAAAGCAACTACAGTCCCTCAATACTTACCAGAGTGAAAGGGGAGGCCACTTTCTTTAGCTCCTTCAGTTTGATGATGAATTCATCAATTCTTTCAGCTACGGCTTCTTCTTTTGCCTGTTATGAATAAAGTAAAAGCAGCCTCAGCCCTGGTGGTATACTTCATAAGACTGAAGTTTATGGGTGCTGCCAGGAGTTTTATTTTCTCACTCATTCCACCACTTAGTGCAGGTACTCATACCAGGTTAGGGATAAAACAACAATTAAATCACAGTCYTCTGATAGAGCTCTCTAGCCAGTCAGGGAGACAGATGACTAAGTATTTTACATTATTTCTGTAATAATAAATATAAGATATATTAGAATGCCCAGAAGCATAGATAATTCAAGGGGATCAGAAAGGGTACTTCTGAGATAACATTACATTGTCTGAGATGAGACCTAAATATACACTAGGAGACAAACATGAAAAGCACAAAAAGTACAATATATACAACATCCTGGCAGTTACACCCCCAACTGTATGCTTGGCCAAAAAGTTCCCCCACAATCAGCTCACCCTTCTTGTGGGTTGGTCCTGCTCCAAGCCAGAGATAGCACGGTCGATCAATCCTTCAATGGTAGTCAGAGCTTATAAATAACAACAAAAGACAAGACTTAGCTCTGTTACCAAGTGCCTATATGACTCTAAGCAATTCACCTGAACTCTCGGGACCTTGATTTCCACATCTGTAAAAGGAGGCCAGCTACTAGGTTCCATTCATTTCTGATAACAGTGATGCTAAAATTCTAAAATAAGAACAATATGGTCTTACCATTACCTTTTACTACCCTAAACTGTTTTACCTAAGCCTTCTGTTCATGTTAAACCAATGAAAAATCACAATGATTTCATGGTCAAACTCATACACAAGCCACTAGGCCTAATATCAGGTGTTCTGAAAGAAAATGTGTAGGATTCCAATATATGTGATTCCAATATATCCAATATATATGTCCAAATCTTTAACAGTCCTAATCTTAAACTTACCTCCCTTCTGGCTGAAAGCTGGAATTTCAAAATCCAGCTCAGGTATCCTGGTGGTGGCAGAGTCGGTCTTCACCACTTCTCTGTTCATGTCCTGGGCATAAAAGAAACTTGGTCCAAACAAGTCAKCAGGACAGCTTCACCTAAAGAAATAACCAGACTATCCCCCTCCATCAGACCTCAACCTAGTTGTTTCTCCCTCTCTCCACCTGGGAGGGACCAGTCAACTCCTTCAGAACAGTATACATACATATGGTATGAGCCAGACTGCCTAAATGGTGAGAATACTACCCATAGTAACTCCTGCTCATTTCATAATCTGACAAACTCCCACTTTAACAAATCTTATCTCATGWAAGATGACAGTAACACCCCTTTTTACAAAGGAGGGAACTAAGGCTTAGCTATTGGGGATTTATTCTGGGTGCAATGACCTGGGACAGAGATCTGACTCCAGTCCCCATGCTCTGTTTGGGATAGTGAGGACCTGCTTTAGGCTCCTCTCACCTCCAGGCCCCTGACACTCAAAGCATAGCGCACTCCTTGRTCTTGGATCCTGCCCGCCGACTGTATCTCCGTGTTGCTCCAGCCACAGTGTTCGCAGGAAAAGGAGCTCACGATTATTTCTCTGAAGAAGGGGATCTTCGTGAGCAAAAGTCGCGTCATGCCCTGGGGAAGAAAAAAGCAGGGAAGGAAATATGAATGAATTCGCGTTCCYGGCACTTCTCCAGGGTGCGCCTCTGAGTTCCGGACTGGACCCACCAGGCTAGTGGCCGACCCCCTTCCCCGCATCTCCTAAGCCCGACACTCCCGCCTCCCGAAACCACGACCCCAGCCTCACGTTGAGGTAACAGTTCATGCACAGCGACTCGATCTCGGTGGGCTGCTGCTCCTCGTCCTCCGCACTAATGGGCCGGAACAAGTGCCCCGCGGAGGGCGGCCGGGCCGGGGCGGGCGAGAGGGCGGCGGCAGCCCCCGGGGGCCCCGGCTCTATAGCCCCGCTGGCCGACATCACCTCACGCGCAGYTCACGCCTCGGCTTCCGGCTTCTGTTGCTCTCGAGGCCCCACCTCTTCCGCTGCTTTAGATGCCTCACTTCCGCTAGCTGCCGTCCCCGCCCCCCATCCCACCCCCACGCGCCCTTTCTTAAAGGGGCGGCAGACTCTGGACCCTGGGGTAGCAGTGTCTGACAAGGTTTTCCGGTTCCCGGAATTACTGGGACTTCCTGAACTTCTATAGTGAGCAGGATACACTTCAGCCGTCACTTTCCTCAGGAGTTGCTCTCAGATGTAGGACAGTTTTTTCGCAATGCATTCATGGCACAAGAAGCCCAACTAGTGGTCCATAAGTCTGACTAGGAGAGCCATGTTGGGAAGGGGACWGGCCTGTCCCTGGGAATCCTGGAGGAGGTGCGGTCATAACTGGACTTGTGTCTATCTATTGTTGGACCAGACGCTGCTTGGACTCCAGGACCTCTGTTAGGCTCTATGTCCCGCTCTCGGATTGCTCAGTTTCTTCCCTTGTCTCAGTCTCCCAATCCCTCGTTCCGTTTGTGCTCTTCTCTAGCCCTAATTTCTGCCCTTTTTAGCACCTCCGCAAATTCTAGTCTCAAAATCATAACCATTATTTTTACTCCCCGTCCCTCATCCCCACCTCATTCAACTCACGTCTATGTGTTTCCCACAAAAACACTTTTTTTTCCTTCCCCCCCCACCCCCCCAAGCTTTTCTCCTTCTCCCTATGCTGGGACCACACCCTAGTTCTGTAGCTGAAAGTGGCTAAATCCTGGTGTCAGGGATGACTAGTCTGCTGGCATGAAGAAYCCAGATTCATTTAGATTCTGCTGAGAACCCTGCATAGGCCAGGCTGAGCCATGAGAAAAAGGTGTGTTGGACAGCAGTCCAAAAGAGAGAGAGTGTGTTTACCCTTTTCTCTCACCCCCAAGTTCATAAATCCCAGTTGATATAGGATGCCTCTGAGTGAGTGAGTGTGGGGCTGAGGAGGTGGCTCAAGGGGTAACGCGCTCGCCTAGCATGCCCGGGGCACTGGGTTCGATCCTCAGCACCACATAAAATAAAGATGTTGTGTCCACCGAAAACTGAAAAAAAAAAAAAAGAAAAGAAAAGAAAAAAAAAAAACTAACTCTCTCTTTCAAGAAGGTCAATCCCAAAAAGACCTTTCAGATTCTGGAGCAGTAGGAACAAAAGGGACAGGCCACCTCCAGAGTCTCAGGTCCACCAGGCCACAGCTTCTGCAGTGACAGCCTGTATTCCATGCATACCACCCTGTAGTAAGCAGACTGTTGAACAATACAGGTGCAGAGGAAGGGCCTTTAACCCAGCCCTCACCCCAATGTGACACACATCCGTTGTCTAGCCAAGAGAGCTGAGGCAGAACCCAGCCAGAACCAGGCCTTTTTTGACAGACCATGATTKGGAGGGATTCCATGAGAAAAAGCAGCAAGGGATTGGAGTGGGTGATGTATGTGCTTTGGGAACTTGGGAACAGTGATGAGGTCGCTGCTCTCAGACATGGTCCAAAAGAGAGTCACACCAGGCCAACTTTCATCGTAAGCATCTATTTCTTTTGAGCCAGAAGTCTAGATTTTGGCCTGGCAGTTAGGAGAGAGGGGCTGGAGATGAGGAGGACATATAATACGCTCCGGAAAGGGTTTAAGAAGACCCCACAGCTTGAAGGGTTCAGCCCCTTATTTAGGTTCAGAGCTAAGGAAATATGGGCTCTGCCCATCCCATCGATGCCCCCCACCATTCATACCAACCAGCATCACAGCCAGCAAGGATATACACACACCGCCACATGCTCTCCCCCATCATATTTTCCTCCTTGCTCTCTAGAAGACAAGCRCTCCTCTCTCTGGACCAGCTGTAACTGTGACCATCAGGCAATCAGAAGTGACAGGAGCCAAACTCTGGGATATAGTGGCACCATCTCATAAGGCTTGCAGACAATCTCCCACACACACAGGGCCTCTCTCCCTCCCGWCTCCCTTCACCCAAGTGTTGCAACTCATGATGATTCCCAAATGAGCACGGAAAGCTGGGTTTGCAAAGCCTGGTGAGTATAATGTATCCAAATGGGGGAGTTGAGGCTGTATGCCAGGGACAGTACTCTCTTCAATGGCCTCACCTGTGCAGGACCCTCTGCCCTCTGCCCAACAGGCCATGCTAGAGGCTGGGATCCAGGTCTCCTTGGACAAAGAGCTGGTGAACCTGGGCAAGTAGACCCTCAGGGTTCTCCCAAACGGCTATGGCCCTGGTCATGAAGACTGTAAGTGATGTCTTCCCACAGGTCATCAAGTCGGTTCTGCAGCTTGCTCAGGGTCTTGCCACTGTCACCTTGTGGGAACTCAGGGGCGAAGGCGCTGTGACCTGGTGGGGGTGGCGCCAACTGCTGCTGAACTTCCTCTGTCTCCTGGTCGATGGCCTGGGTGAATGCAGCGATCTGTAGGAATGTGTCCTGGCGRAAAGCCTGGAGTTTCTGGCGTACCTCTTCTGAGAGCATCTGGGGATCCGGGCTGGCCCCCTGCTCAGCTCCRTCAGCGCTGGCGCGGACAGATGCACTGAGCTCTTCGCGCAGATGGTCCAAGTTCTGCTGGATGCGCGCGTGCAGGGCCCTGGCCTTGAGCGTGAGTTTATGAGAGAGAACCTGCACACAACGGCTAAGACGCGCAGGGCTGACGACCGCCGTGTGCGGAGCCACACTGCGGTGCAGCTCCTGCACATGGCGCCCAATGCCCGTTACCAGGCGCTCGGCGTATGGGTGGAAGAGCTCTTTGACTCGGCCAGTGTGGTGCAGCACACTACTCTGCATCTCCTGCAGCCGGCTCAGCACTTCGTCGACACCCCCCAGCAGCTGGGCTTTGGTGTCTTCTCCCACCACGCGCAACTTCTCCTGCAGTTCCTGCGCGTGCAAGGCCACCTGCTTCATCAGCTCCAYGGTGTAGGGCTTCAGCTGCTGCCTCAACCCCTCCAAGTTCCAGCCCACAAGCTCATGTACCTCCGCCATGTAGGGCTCCAGGCGCGCCCTAACCTCCTTCAGCTCCTCCTGTAGCTGCTGCCTCATGCCTGCTGGGTCCTGTGTCAGCAGAGAAGGCTCTTTCCCCTGCCCACTCAGCGGGGCCAGCTTTTCCAGTAATTTGTTCATATTGCTGAAGTCTTGCTCAAGGCTGTCTTTCAAGCTCCTGGGAAAGGACACAGACATCCATGCCATCAGTCTACTAGCCCCAGTCATCCCCTTTTCACCAGACATGGCATACTGATGATGCTCTGCAGAAACCAAGGAGGAAGGGCTGTGGCCCAGGGGTTCTAGTCTCTTAAACCCCAAACCACTGCAACTCCTCACACACAAAGCACAAACATGTTGTACTTCCTTTGCAAGGAAGTGTTACAAATGCCAAGACTCTCATATCCTCCTGATGTTCTGGGACTGCTGAAAGGTTCCTCTCCATTGATCTCAGGTCCCTTGCCTCCCACAGTTAGCCTGGCTATACTGATGGCAAGGCCAGGATTYGAGCTGGGGTCCAAGGATGCTGGAACCCAGGACCACTGGAATTTGCAGGCAAAGCAAGCCCTGGAATCAGGGGCAGTGCATCATTCCATAGCCCATACCCCTTTCCCTGGTCACTCACGTGGGCTCCCGTGCCAGCTTCTGCTGTTGGATCTGCTCCATCGTGCCTTTGTCCCTGCTTCTCTGGCTGAAGTAGTCCCAGATGCCTTTCCGTGCCTGAGTAGCTGAAAACACTGCAAAAAGGGATGAGATGATTAGGGGCCAGGTTCTCCTCCCTCATGGGGAGGTCCCTCAGTCCAGCCTTTACCCACACCCCTACTTTGAAGTCTGGTTGGAGACCCACCTGAGAGGAGGACCAGAGCCCAGGTGAGGACTGCAGCCATGCTGAGATATGGACTCTTGACAAGGAGGTGAATGGAAGCCTGGTCAGGGTAAAGAAGAAAAGGAAAGGACTTGTTCTAAGGGGCTCCCTGTGCCAAATCCTGTTAACTCTTCCCTGAGCTGTGGGGAGCAGAGCTGTGGTTGGAAAGGACCAACCTAGATGGATCAGGGAGGCTGGGGGGAAAGGGTGTATAACTCAGACATTTCTCACTTCAGTCACATAGTAGGGAGTATGGAGCTCAACACCCCTGCACAGTTCCCCCCCACACCATCATCCCCAGATCCCAGCCTCAGAAGCAGCTCCCAGCTCCCTCACTCGCTGTCTCCCTCACTTCCTGTCTTCATGGCTGGGAAGACTGAGGCATACCCAAGGGGGAAGAAGCCACTCTGCCAAAGGGCTGAGGAAGATGTCCTAGTTCCTACTTCCTACTCTCTCCTGAGGCCTCCTGCTATCCCCTCCCTCAGGACTCTGATCCTCATCCCTCTGCTCCAGCTGCTCACCTGCTCAGTTCTGGGCACAGGGAGCCGACATTCTGCTTTATAGTCTAGGGGCCTGGACCTGTGGCAACAATCGCTTTAAGTAAACACCACGTGGAGGTTCAAAGAAGGATGACCTCAGCTACCTCCCAGCTTACCTCAGGTCTTTTCCCTGGCACCCAGAGAGTTAATGGTTTCCCTGGAATTGGGATGCCCCAGTAGAGGTGCTTCCTAGAATGCTAAGAGTGGGGCTGAACTCACCCAGTTTCCCCCAAAACCTATGACCTGCAGCCGCCCACTGACCCGCTGGCTGGCCCACCAACAGATTGGCTATTTGTCTGCCAAGAGCCCTACTCTTACTCAACTACACAGAGACTCTGTGCCCCAGCCAGCCAGCCAGCCAGCCAGGGACAGGGTCCAGCTGCTGGCAGAGCCTGAGCATCTCAACAGCTCCCCAACAGGCTACTCAGGCAGCTAGAAAGAGCCAGCATTTATGGGATTAAAGACCCTCCCATCTCTCAATTTTTGAAATAATCCTTAATGTAGCAGTCAGTGATATCTGGGCCAGGGACTCCGGGCCTAAGGGATTAGAACAAGAGAAGGACTTTCCCCATGGGGAAGGCTGAACTGAACTCCATCCTTGGGCCTTTGAGGAGGGGAATCCCAGAAATCCAGATCTTTCTCTATGACAAACTCCCTCCATATATTTATACACACCCATTCCTAAATTCCTTCTTTTGTCCCTTTTTTTTTTTTTTTTTTGAGACAGGGTCTCACTAATTGGCCTGACTTCACACTCATCATCCTCCCAACTCAGCCTCCCAAGTAGCTGATACTGTAGGCACACCACCACCACACCCAGCTGTAAATGTATCCTGAATTGATCCTCTCTTATCCATTCCCACCATTGTCATAGCCCCAGTTGTCTCTCACCTTGGTCTCATTCATAACACCCAGTGGATCTTTCTGCAACAGTCCTGTGTATTCAATCCATCCTCTCCCGTGCTCATTTTGACCYACCTCCAGTCTGATCTCCTGTCACACAGAGTCTTGGCCTTTGCTGAGTATACCACCTCTTTCCCAAAAGAGGTGAGCCTCTGTGCTTGCTGTTCTCTCCGCTTGAAATAGCCTATCTCCCAGGGAATAATTCACTTTCTTCAGATTGACTTTGTATTTAGGATTAGGCTCAGGTGCAAATGACCAACAAGGATAAAAGGAAAAACAGAATAGCTCAAACAAAAATGGAATTTTATTTCTCCATAATGTAAATTAAGCCAAGGACTGCTTCCATTTTGTTGCACTGTCATCCTCAACAAGAGGTTCCATGTCCAAGTTCCAGCTCCAGCCATAAAATCCACCGCCCAGTCAGCAGGAAATAAGAAAAGAAGAAGGACGTGCTCCTTCCCATTAAAGTCACATCTCAGATATTGTTCTTACCACTTCTACTGGCATCTCATTGGTTGGAACTTAGTCACATGGCTACACTTAGCTGAAAAGGAGACTGAGAAATGTATCCTCTGGGTGACTCTATTCTCAGCTGAAAGAAAGTTTTATTATCCAGGAAGAAGAGAAGGATGGATACGGGGGCAATAGGAGTCCCTGCTGCACAGTTCCAATATCTCTTCTGTCTTGACCCTTCCCTGCTCTGGAGACAACTGATTCCATACTAATMGCATTTTACATATTCCTGTGCTACAGCACTTATTATTTTGTAGTGCAATGATTTGTTGAGATGACTGAGAGTTCTTTGAGGGCAGGGAATTTGTCTAATTCATCTCTRTATCCCCTACTCTGTTTGGCATAGTGCCCAATACATAGAAAGTTGTTCATCTTATTGATTAAGGAACTGAAGTTTGGGTGGGTTAAGGGACTTTCCCATCATCACACGGAGAGAGGTGCAACCAGAACTGGCACCCTGGTGTTTGGCAGCATAGGACAGGAGAAGATGAGCCTTCCAATCACCCATCAGACAATTGCAGGCCCAAGTGAAGAGTCAGTGTTTTCAGCAAAAGTGGCCCTCAGGTCCCTGGAGAGTAACCTAGACAGCCATTATCATCATAACATAGCAAAACTTGTGGGAGACTAATAATGTATGAACTCCAAATTATGCTTTTTAAGTCAGATAAGACAAGTGAAGCTGGAGGGTGTGCTTAAGGTTTTCTCCTGTAACACCTATACTTTTTCCTTTCCAAAGAGTGGAAGCAAAGAACTACGAGATGGCACCATTGCAAGAGAGAGCGTCTAGATTCTGAGCTAGTGCTTGGAAGAACACTTCCCACCAACCTGTGTCAGACTTTTCGGAATGAAAAATAAACTTCTATTTTGTTATGCCACTGAGATGTGGAGATTTATTTGCTATTATTTTATAGATTAACTTATCCCCATTAACACAGAGCCTAAAAGAGAGCAATAAGAGAAGTAGAAGTATAATAATAAAAGAGAAATAAGAGAGACATAAGCAAAGGTATTCATTAATTATAAATTCAGCTCTGAGCAATACCCAAATTAACAGTGGATTAGAAATCAGAAGTTTATTTTTTTTTCTGTTAAAAAAAATCCATGCCAGTATGGCAGTGCAGCATTGCYCTACAAAGCTATAAGGACTCTCAATGCCCTCTGTCTCGAGGCTCTACCATCCCTGTGTGTTGTCTTCATCCATATGACCAAAGGCAACTTACCACTGTGTCCATATGTAGCCACTAGGAAGGGGCAGGGAGTGTACTTTTCTTTTTTTTTAAGGGCAAAATTTTAAGTTCTCCCATCCCACTGGTCAGAAGCAGTCACACTAGCTGTAAGGGATGCTGGGAAATATCATCTTTACTGTGAATGGCTCTGAGCCCAGTGCCCAATTAAAACTCAAGGATTCTGCCCTCATACATTGCTCGTGGGACCATAAAAGTTGCAGCTGTCTGGGAAAATAGTTTGGTGACTTTTTAATGGTCAATCATGAAGTTATCCTATCACCCAGCAAGTCCACTTTTAGGTCTAATCTAAGAGCAACAAAAACATACATCTACAAAAACTCACACATGAATGTTCATGGCAACATGATTCATAATAGTCCAAAAAATGGAAACAAAATGCAGTATATCCATATATTGGAATATTATTTGGCAATAAAAGGGAATGAAATACTGAAACCTGCTACAGCATGAATGGACCTTGAAATCATGCGCAGCAAAAGAAGTCAGTTAGTTACAAAGGACCACATGCTGTGTTATTCCATTTATATGAAGTGTCCAGAAAAGACAAATCCKAAAAGACAGAAAGTATATTCATGGTTACCTAGGGCTGAGAGCAGATGTTTAGTAGGGAATGGGAGTGTGGTGATGGTAAAAAGATTTTTTGTGATGATAAAAATGTTCTTAACTTAGGTCATAGTGATAGTTGTACAAATCTGTGAACAAGCAAAAGAAAATACCATTGCATTATCATGAATTTTATGGTATGAGAATTATATTTCAATAAAGATGTTCTGAAAATTAGAGACTCTATAACTGAGAAAGAAGATGAGAATAGAGATACAAGGAAGCATCTCTGACGTGTAGCCTCAGCCACACCAGGAAAGAAAGGTGTCAAGAGCGAGGAATCAATGACTCCCACCATGGTAGATGGAGCTGTGTTGAAGTCATGTTTTCAGATCTTTTCTGTCTCTACTCTTTATTTTTTTACAGTCCTGGTATGGAACCCAGGGCCCTGCCCRTGCTAGACAAGCGCTCCACCACTGAGCTATATCACTAGCCTACTTTTAATTGTATTTTGAGTCTTGGTCTCTCTGGTTGCCAAGCCCGGACTCCAACTTGCAACACACCTACCTCAACCTCCCAAGAAGCTGCAGTGACAGGCATGTGCCACCACACCCAGCTTCTCTATCTCTAGACTTATAAGAAGCATTCCTGGTTACTTCATATCTGTCATAGTTCAGATTTGTAATATCTCACAAAAAGCTGGGTCCTCAAGGCAGTAATATTCAGAGGTGGGGCCTTGGGAAAATGATTCGATCATATGCGTTTGTAATTTAATGGATTTTTGACGGGGTGGGCAGTTGAAAAAGGAGGTGGGACTCAGAGACAGTAAGTTCATATCCTTGAAAAATATCTTGTCCCTGGGCTTATCCCCTATGACTCTCTCTATATATTTCCTGGCTTCCATAAAGTATCTGTGGGGGGCCACCCATGAGCAGTATTAGGGAGCCTCTCTCAGCCTTGAGCCAAGGGGGTGTTGGTCTGGGGTTGCACGCTATCTAGGCCTCAACCTTCACTGGGAAAAGAAGTCTGCTTTCTCAGAGCTCTGGACCTGGGCGTTACTCATTGGGGCTAGGTCAGCCCACCCCTGCCTTATTTGGTGAAGAACATTCTATCAAAAGTCCTTTGTTAATTTCCTTATAAATAAAGGGATTCCAGGTGCATGCTCTCTCTTTCCAGAGTGGAAACTGACCCTTAAGGTCAAAGAGCCATTCTGCCCTTGATTTGATTATTTATTTTTATGTAGTTCTGGGGATCAAACCCAGTGCCTCATGCATGCTAGGTGAGTGCTCTACCACTGAGCCACAGCCMCAGCT